TGTGTTTATTTTCCGTTAACCATAAATAATCTATATGACTGCCATAACATGGTCTTTTATCTGAATCCTAGGTATAAAAATTTCAGACTACCTTATGATACTTATTGATTCGGAAGCTTCTGGTCCACCTTTTACCGAAAAGTATGAAACTGGAAGTCTAACGTGAAACTTTACCGAACAGTGTATTTTGAAGGCTAAAGTCAAACTTATTAAAAGTACATATTTCAGATCATGCAAGAAATCAATTATTATTAGACCGATGAATCAGCAAACTAAGATTGCATTCTTCAAGGGCTATGTTAGATGTTTACATGCACGCAAAATAATGCTTGTACACCATAGTTCAATATTTGCAGATTGAATTATTGTGAAATTTATCAGTTTGAATGAGTGAATTTCCGACTTCCGTTCAGTAAGCAACAATCAATATCACCCAAATAAACAAAGATCATCTTGCATACATTTATTCAACTAAAATTCAGCGACATGATTTTCATTTGTACTTAAGTGTTACAAAACCAAGCCTTTAAACAGAAAATGTTTCATCACTCAAATAAAGCGTTAAATTGCCAATCAATAATGGTGTTGGAAGTTTAGAAAACTGTCATCTATACTCTTCAATTTTCAATGTTAGACGTAACCAGGTCTTGTTGAACAAACAGCATAGTGACTCATACTCGCAATAAAAACGAAATTCACCATAATAATTGACGGTTACAACTGTTTATGATGACTAAACATAATCTAAAATAATTAAATTGTCTGATTAGTTGAAGTCGTCTATGTAACAGTCTGATTATTCAACTGGTAACCTACTGTGTGAACTCAAATTAATCACCTCAAACAATGCGTTGACTCGTTTGAGTGAACAAATTCAACCTGACAGTCACTGTTTAAGAATATAAAATTTATGAAATCTAATAAGGTTGACCGGAAAAATTAAATTGTTAGTGATTATACTGGTATTCAAAGTGTTTGGTGAAATCAGCAGCCTTGGACTCCTTTATGAGAGTATCTCTAATATGACTTGAGTTCATCATTTAATAAGATACATTAGAAACTAAAAATGAATTTACTAACCCCTGTGTTTTATGGACTCGTATACTCTAAGGTATACTTCCGGGATTTCTAAATCGAATTCGATTAGCAATTTACAATAATTAGCACCGGAAATCGCAATATTTATATGTTCATTTAACACGTAAATTAACTTCAGTACCACTTAGCATTGATATAGTCGCTGAGACTATATTCAACTATAAGAAGTAGATATTTGATAATTTTGATCATGCAACGAAAGGAAGTTTTACTGTTAAAATATGAATGCTACATGGATTAGTTTTGTTCAATTTAAACTCTCAAAATATCATAAATTCTTAATCTAACTTTCAGCTGTAAATATCAACTGAAAATAAAGTTTATCCCTGCATGTATTATATGGATATTGCCATGACTAATTATAATAGTTGGAAAATGTACATGGAAAATAATTTCAGTATTTATTTACATAGAGCAGCATTTTGAAAATCTATACATGTATGTTCAGTTACTATTATAAAATGAATTGATGTACAGTGATGCTTTTCCGAATAATCTGTGGAGTGTAACATATAAATTTAGCAGAAAATATTTATAGACCATACGTTATGATCACTGATTTTCATTCTGTACAAATACCACTATCACTAACTTCATTGAACGTTCGTGCGACTAATGAATAGTTATATTCATTTTTTATCATAGGGTTGTGCAGAATTTTGGGTTTTATTGAAATCAAGAATCAATCAATGTTAAATCACCATTAGAAACCTGGATACACTAAACCGTCGTTTTTTCCTAGTATATGACTCCTCATTAGTACGCATCCACGACGCCCACACGTTGGAATCGAACCCAGGACCTTCGGTCTCACTCGCCAACGCCCAACCTTTTGACTATTGAGCGAGCATCTAACGGTGTTAATGTTTAATTTCAGTCAATCCATGGTATTGCGTGGCCTCATCCATTGTTTTCCGTGAATAACTGTCTCATACCTGACACGGCTGGACTCCACTGATTACGACTTCTCACTAGAATTCTGAGAATTTCCTTACAGAGCTAGTCACTAGTGAGCACACAGATGAGGTGACACAATATCATGGATTGGTTGTAATTAGACATTATTACAGTTAGATGCCGGCTCAGTGTTCAAATGATCACACATCTGCGATTGAGACCGAAAGTTCTTGGTTTGAGTCCCGCGTAAGGACGTTGTGGATATACACTGCTGATGAGTCCCATAGTGAAACGAAACCTAGTCTAGTGCTTCCGGTTTCTAAGGTGGTCCAACATCGATCGATTTATGATTTTAATGATATTTGTTTCTGTTTAATATTTTGTATGTAAGGAAGTAAATGCTATGACGTACGGCGTCTCAGATCTGAACGTGACACGTTCTCACCGATAAAACACGTTACTTGAGCCATAAGGAAAGCGTAGAAGAGAAAGTCTATTTGACTACCAAATCATGTGCATAAATGCTTATATATATTCATTCATCCCTTTTAGAAAATCAATCTGTTTCTTGACCAATGACCAACAGTTGACACTCAATCACATAGTATTATTATAAATTTTCAATCAATCTGAGCACTGGATCCATTAATCTAACACTGACTGAATGACTCATAGTAAATCATAAGACTCTAATTCTCAAGTCACTCAGATAATAAAATCGTTAGCTAAACACACTCAACCTGTCGTGAAATCATTAGTAAGTACTAAGAGAAAGATGCTTCGGTTAGATCTTATACTTGTTTCTGAAGGCAAGATAGTTTGGCATTAAATACTCTCTAGTGACCAATAAGTTTATTCATCCTCGTCTTTTAATAAACAAATCGTAATCTGAATAGATCAGTAATATATTTGATTGAAAATCTGAATAGTCCACTCCAGAATCGCTGAAACAACAGTGATAAGTATCAACAAACATAAATTGTTGACGTATATAGTCTCTGAATAACTTATGTTGATAGTGGCGCTTTCCTACCATTGATAGTCATTTATTAGTATTTGACGTTAGATGCTACTACTAAACAATTGGACTGTGATTTTTCATGTTGTGAGTCAAACAATTAGGTTCACGGATAATTTTAGTAATTTTTTAAGTTATTCTATGTGTAAACCAAAACTATATTTTGTCAGGTTAGTTGACTAATGAATTACTTTACTTACTGTGATAAACAAAACTAAGGTTGGTTCATTATTAGAGATAACACAAAATTATAGGACATAGTCATTTTTATTGCCACAATACTTGTCTGTAATTAGAGTTCTGTCTATTCTTAATAATCAAAACGTATTTATTACATGAGTCTGCATTTCTTACCACATGACTATGATATCATAAAAGTTCATATGAATCCTGAGGCATTTAGAATATTCAAACAAATTAAACGGTGATGATTATAGCTGTCTTTGTCATTTTTTATTCTTTAGGATGAAAATTACTATTTAATTTCGTAATATCTGTAAAACAGTTTGAGTTCAATTATCAATGATTTTAACTTTCTTCTCTACAGATAATTATTAAGTATTACTTGTGAAAGATTGTAACTGATAGACTCATTTGTAAAAATTTATTAAAATTTTTACCAATTAGATGAGATATCTTTCAGTTTACTGGACATTGTTGATAAACGAAATACAATTTATCATTTCTGTAAATAACCCTAATTAAAACATCAATTTTATCATCATGTGAAAACTCGGTGATATTAAAATTTAATGGTTATAAGTTAACCTCATAACGTATATTGATCCATTTAAAATTGTTATAAACATATACATTTAATCTAAACACAACTTCAGAAAATAATAATTACAATTTTTCTTCAAATCAAAGAAAACGAATACGTGTTGATTAACTTATGTAAGTTCACAGTAAGTTTTATCTGTGTTTAATATGACTTGATACAACGTGTTATTAATAGAGTCAATGTATTGCAAGATGTTTGTCCTCAATGAGTATATATATATATATATATATATATATATATATATATATATATATATATATATATACATCTTATATAAGGACATAATGGTGAAAATTTCAAGTTGTTTGTGTATGAATTTCTTTTATTTACTTCAAATTGCACTTCATAATTTAGTGTGTAGTAGAAGGTTTCGTTTAGTTTCAAGTGAATACATCATGTTCGACAAGCATGAGTTTACATTAACGATTTAAAAAATGGACTTTTTCGGCAAAACTAGGCCATGGTAAATATTTTATGTATTTTTGGTCAGAATAGGAATAGAATATTGATTTTATGACTAAAATAAATGGTGAGTGGTGTATACATTGTATAATCTTCAGTATATTCTTATGGACCACACAACCTGATCTTCAGAAAATTCTCTTTTCGGCAGCAAGCTGTAGACGACACTCAGCTGTATACTATTTAGATGCTGTCTTGTGTATAGCATACACCACAACAGCAATCATTTTTATACAATTTATTTTTTCATATTCTATGAAGATACTGCAAAACGCTACTGAATATTAACCGCAATTGCTTTAATTTTTACTCAAATAAGTAAAAAGTATGCAAATTCATGGAAGTATATTTTTTTATGAAATTGAATTAATAGTTATTAGATATCACGATTCCGTGAATGAATCATAAGCAAAAATCCTGAAATATAAGTACATAATTTAATTTAGAAACTTCTCTCTGGCGTTTTTGTGCTGATGATGTTGTTCAGAAGAACAGTGAAAGCTTAACAACCAAAACATCCAGCTTAGAGAACGAAACACCACAATGTCTTGTCATCCATCACAATGAAATGCTTAAAATTATTTACACAGCATTTTTTGATGTTAAATATCTGTTTGTATAGCAAAAATTCATAACACAAATATTTATATTTTTATAAGAATTTTCTATATATTTTTATTTATATTGTGCTTGAAAATTTATAAAATTACAGAAAGAATAGAAAAAAAATAGTTATTACATGTTAAAAAATATTGAAGATTATGATATAAAATAATAAATAACACACATACAAAGAAACAGATTGACTATAATTGTGCAGTGATTATTGTTTTAGATGTGTCTGATGAATTATCCACTGTTGTATTCTCAATTATGGATGGCAGTGATTCGTTAGTTTCATCTGAAAGTTTGACAAAAATGTACAAGATAACTAACTACTTATTGGTTTATAGGGCATGACGTGAATATTATGCTTTAAATTATGCTATGAATAATAATATAAAAGTTTTGAGCTTATCATCTTATACAAATCAAAGTGTATGTTTCTTTATTTTGAGAAGAAAAACACTGAACCAATCAATAAATCAGAAACGTTTAGTTCAAGCTCTTAGGTTTGTACAAACAAGATAACTCTATTAACTAATATAATACGTACAGTTTCGGCCATAATATCAAAAGAGTATTTATCGATAAATTTTAAAATAAACATTAAAATGAATACATTTTTGGTTAGATACTTACTTGTCTCTTCAGTTGCAACATTTTTCTCATCCTCAGATTGTTCTGTAGTTTGTACTTCTTCGACTGGATCATGATTAACTTGTTTGTCAGACACTGATTCTTCATTCGAATTCATATTTTCAGTCTTGAAAACATATAATCAAAAAATTACTTAGAAAGTACTATTTTTTCATTAAACAAAAATCCATTTTTTTACATATTAGGTTATTTGCATTACGGGGTTGTGAAGGTTGTTAAGTTACACATTTTTGAAACCATGAATCGATCAATGTTAGACCACCATCAGAAACCTGGAAGCACTGGACGGCCGTTTCATCCTGGTATGGTATGCGCATCCACGACTCCTGCACCCCGCAGGATTCGAACCCAGGACCTTCGGTATTGTGCGCGAACGCCCGAACTGATAGACCACTGAGCCGTCCAGTGCTTCCAGGTTTCTAATGGTGGTCTAACATTGATCGATTCATGGTTTCAAAAATATTAGGTTATATCAAGTATAGTAAAAAGAAAGCAACTGTTTAAAGTATATAGATAGTTTAGGAATTTAACTATAAGAATTCAGGATTGTTAGTAAAATGAAATAAAATTGTTTAGATAATAGTGATATGCAATAATAATTGAAATTCTAAGGTCAATAATCAAAATAAATATAAATAGCATAGAAATAACAATATAATAGCAAATTATATTCAATATTCAGTGGAGATGAGTGCTAAATAAATGGTTCATCATGTTTTTTTTCTTCGGAAGATAAATAACAATAGTTCTAAGACCATTTTCATTTCAATGAGATTCATATTCAAGCACAATAATAAGTTAGTTAGATATAAACACTGTTAGATGTCGACTCGGTGATCTAGAGGTTATGCATTCATGCACGAGATTAAAAGTCTTAGTTCTGGCTCCTGCGATCGAGGTCGTAGGCGCGTATTGTTGTGGAGTGCCACACTAGGATTAAATGGTTATCTAATTCTTCCAGGTTTTTAATAATGGCCTGGCTTAAGTCGCTTCATGGCTTGAATAAAATTTAATAATCTCCTCAACTCATGTTGAAAACAATAATTATAATAATTGGAAAATATATATCAATAAAAATAACGATGACTATGAAGTTTGAATAATACTAATTTTCAGTTATTAAAATATGAAAGGGTATATATACATCCAACTAGTTAGGTCATTTTTTTGTGATTTATACAGCTATTAATTTATAGACTATTATGTTAACCAAAGTAAGAAAATGGACTGAACCCGAATTTCTTTCGTAAATTTGGCTTCAATCTATAAAAAAAAATAAGAATGACTATTACTTTTGGCGTTTATAGGAGTCTAAACCTGACAGAACATTGAGAATGATTGATGTGCACTGTCACTGTGAGATCAACTTGAATTCATTGGACTAGTTATTAATGTGGCGTTTATTGTCTTAACAACATCTTAGACACACTGAAACGAGTTTACAGAGATAAAAATGACAATCTATTGAACTTCAACCAAGCTTACTGAATTCTCACTTTTTATAACCAATTTATTTACCTTGAACGTGTCTATTCTATGCGATTCTTAATTTAGATAGTTTAATAGTACAACCTAGCAAGAATTTATTGAAAAGAATATCCACCATTCATATATTGGTATTTAGAAATTATGGAAATTTTTAAATAGTTAAAAATCAATTAATTACCTTATCTTCCACATTGGATTTTTCTTTCTTAAAAGAATGATGCTATAAGGTATTATTTTTAAAAAAAAATAATAATAAATACAATTGCAGAATTTAATAAATTACTTATTTATTTATTTATGGTCAATAAAGAATAATTCATTGAACTAATTTAAAACTAATGTAGTTATTGTTGACCGAATGCTTTCCTAATTGTTATATTGTATGTAGCCAATAAACACAATAAATAATAACTTGAAACTATTTTCTAATTACATTCAATAGCTGAACAATAATTGTGTATCAATGTTTCAGGACTGAAAAAAAAACAAATACTAAATTCTATCGCAAATGTTTGATAGTCTATTGTGTATCAATTAGTTTCAAAGTAACATGTCTTAATGTTACAATGAAAATGAAACTGGAAAGACCTTATGGTTTAATTAAACATAGAATGTAATCTTATATAGTTTAGTATCGACAAATATACTAGAAAGATTTACCACAACGCTATGAATATGTCAAGCTATCTATTGATAAACTATAACAGAATATATGTTCACTTTCAATATGACCGGAAGAGTAACTATCTAAACCCCACGCTGGAAGCCACTGCAATTTCCATAGATCGAATTAGTACACGAAAACTGGTGAGAAACAGGTTGACTTTAATCCCAAAAGACATTTATTTAATATATAAGAATTTTACACAAACTAGATAATGACTTCATAGATATTATGCACAGAATTACAATATGAATCCCTTGTTGCCAAACATACTGAACAAATTTTGAGCTAATTTGATGCGGAGCATATTATCGGAAGCAAACATTATGCTAATAAATAAAAAGTGAGTGATGGATAAAATTTCACTGAGCAATCATCATTCTGAAGTAAAACGCAAGTTATAATAAATAAAATGTCACAGAGTTAAAAACGTGATCTTGTGTTATAACCATGTTAGTGAATGATTTACGATAGGATTGATGAGTTTTCAAATTTAGTTAAAATTAATGCATTTATATGTGATGCGTTTACAAAGCCTATATATTATACATTGACAAAAACTTAAAGTTTCATTGAAATCTTAAATCGATCATTGTAAGATCACCATTAGAAACCTGGAGGCACTGGACAGCCGTTTCGTCCCCTGCTCGCAGGAATCGAACCCAGGACCTTCGGTCTTGCACACAAACGTCTAACCTCTAGACCTCTAGGCCGAGATCCAGAGGTGGGTGCGTACTGCTAACAATTCACATAGTTGAACGAAACAGCCGCTCAGTGATTCCAGATTTCTTATGATAGTCCAAGACTGATCGATTCTCGATTTCAATGAAACTCAACATTCTTCATAACTCTATAATGAAAATTAAAAGTGTTCACCTTTGGTAAATGAATATGGACATTCTTCTTTAACCATTTGACTAGATTAACTTTCTTCTGTAAACAAACAAAATTATAAAATGATGGTGTGCTCAATATCAGTGTTATAAATCGAAATTGCATTTTGTCATATATTTATTCATAAGTAAACAATTAACTAACCTTTGGCTCTTTATCTTTCTCGCCTGCTGAATTCTGTAATAATAGAGAGAAATAAACAATAATATCAAACTAATAGTAGTAGTAGTAGTAGTAGTAGTAGTAGTAGTAGTAGTAGTAGCAGTAATAATCAGTATTCAGTTGTAAATAAGCCATACTACTTTAATTAACAAAACAATAACCAAATGAAAAATACCGCCGGAACTTTTCGGACGTAGCATTGAATGTAATACTGTCAAGATTAGTTCCAAATGAACACAGTAATTAATAATGTAGTCTTTATATGTATTTGAAACATTTCAATGAGTTTTTCCAGTTCTGTTTACTAATTAAGGTGGTATTAAATTTAAAACAATTATTCATATTCTGAACAAACTGATATCAGCAAAACATCAGAAAGTCCGACTTTTCTACTCATCAAAATATTACATACATATTGCTTCTACCAATCAGCTTAGCTATGTTTTAACTGAATTGGTGAAAGTTACTTTATTTATCAGTAACAAACGAATATTGTGAACAGTCGGTCGAAAATACGCTCAGACTGGTTATTTCATTTGATTGCCGAGAATATACAATTAAAGTATTCGTATTTCATTACTAAATACATGGAAGTTATTTTCATACATAATTGACCTGTTCGCCAAAAGATTATATATAATATAATATGATGGATGAAGCCTTATTAACAAATTATTTCACTTAGTTAACAGTTTTAGATAAATAAGGGCCAAGTCTTTACTGAATTCTATGATGATCTTAAATTTGAGTTACAAAGAGGATATCATTTAAAAGATAAAAGTCAAACGATACGGGAAAAATACTGACCGATAGTTTATGATTGTTAATTGTCAAACACTAACCACTCATTCAACAACCTCCGGTAAGTGTGTAAATATTTCATCAACATGGTAAACTGATTAACTTTTAAAACTAGCAATCGTTTCAAGACTTAGCATAATCATTTTAGTGTTATCTATATCAGCGTGTTATACATATGGCTTACATTGTCTTTAATGAATACTGAGTCATCTTTTGATCCATCGTAGATTACTAGAATGTGGTCTCTTAAAAATCGTGGATTTGTTAAAATATTCAGCCAACCGAATTCAACTTCAGTTCCAGTTATAAATATACCGAATCGTGGTAACTAAGACTTACAAAGTAAAATAACTATTTGTTTACTAAATTACGAACTATCCTCATTCAAAATCGATGTGTGTTAAGAAGTCAGAGTTCCTAACTTCACAGTAATGCCATAGTTTACAATATTTGTTCTTTTAAACATCCATTTCTTAAAAGCAAAATCTAATCTATCAAGTTATTAATCAGATTATCAGAAACGAATAAGAATCAATCTATATATACATTATAATTACCTCATTTTTTTCAGATTGTTGTGAATTTTTGTCAACACTTTCAAGAGTTGATGATTTTTCTGAATTATCTTCTTTATCTGAAATTTCTTTTGATTTTAAGCCGTTTTCTTCTTCATCCTCTTGAGTTTTCAACATTTCCAATGATGAATCGACCTCTGTTTTACACTGATCATTTTCTTTAACTTGGCTAATTTCGTTCTATTTTTAGATTGCAAAAAAATGTAAATGGAAAAGTCATTATCTACTTGATTCTCTTCTAGTTTATCTGATTCATTATTGTTTACTGTAAGTTTATCTGACTGTATAGAATCAATTTTGGATGAATGTTGTTGATTCTAGAGAAATAAAATTAAAATTATCAGTTAGTTAGATAGATAGATAAATAACAGCTTACTTCATTTGTTTGTACATTGCTTGAACTATTATTATTCACTGTTTCATCATCAGTTTTATTAACAGAGGCAGGTTCATTTGACATTTCTATTTTCACTGTACTAAATGTTTGATTTGTTTGATTTTTTTTTTCAAAATTGCAGCTTTTTTTCTCTGTAACCCAATGAATGAATAAGTGAATTATTCAAAATGAGGTCAATGTTTATATAAGAAATGTTGAACAGTTTTACATAAATTTAATTGGTTAATAATGTACTGTCATCATTAACCGTCATTATTGTTCATATTATTTTTTTAAAATGGTTTTAATTGCTGCAGTCTCATAGTAGATAGATAGCCTAAAAAAAATTAATGAATGTATCGCAATAATAATAAATCACGTTTACACATATGTATGAATCTATGTATATTTGTGCATCAATTTTTTTATATTTGCCGTAAAAATTTGTAAACCGAAAAGTCATGATTTTTGTCTGTAATCAAAAATAAAATGTTAAATAATAATTGTCAAATGACACACCGGTAAAAAAAAATCAAAATTTAGTTAACCTTAATTTTTCAATGGAAATAATAATAATAATAAATTTTTATTAAGTGTGAAATACAATAATTTAGCATTACACTTATTGACCTAAATATTTCAACTATAAAAATTTTTTATCATTAATCAGTTAGTAATCAAGCTCATATTAATTATGTCTTCTGCTTTGAGTTGTATTTTACACATTTAGGTCAGTGATACTATCAAACTGTCCAAGCCAAGGTAAGCGGTTTGAGATTGTGACTCTGGTTAATTGAACATGAAGTAAATTTTATGACTGAGTTATGATCACACTATTGATTACATGTACTACAACAGCCAAATTCCCTAAATAATGTCTGCGAGACACACGTACTGTATGTTTACAAAGATTGAGTAACGTCCATTGAAATCTGTCCGACTACACCACATCTAATCATTTTTTAAAAATAATTTAAATCTTTAGTTTTTACTTCACACTCCTTATTCCTCATTGTTTTATTTATTCAAATTCAAGTACATTCACTCTGTAGTGAAGGAGACTACAGGTAAGGGCAACCGAAATGTATTTATCGCAAATTACAGAGTTAATTGGTAAAACAGGAAAACCATATCGTAAACCGTTAATTTGCAAAACATCAATCCATTGTCTGACATTTCACTATTCATGCGTTTCATACAAATTCCATTGTGTTCCCACTCTTTCTTTCTGGATCTTCCCCCATCTTCTGCTGCCAGACATTATGTTTACACTCACGTCATATACTACTTATAAGTAGCGCGCACCACAACTCTATTGATCATTCCGATTCTTTCGTTTTCATTCTCTTTTTCACCTTCTGAATTGTCAATGTTAAGAATATATGTATAACAACTTCCAACAGTTATTTATTTGTTCATTCATTTATAAATACTTTAGAAACATTTTTTTTCAGTAAACTGATCATATTCAAATAAATCAGTTTAATCATTTAAAGGTATTTTGAAAAATTTATTCTCATAATAGTAAGCGATTTTTTTTAATTTTTAGGTCTAATGATAGAAATATGCGTTGACAGTATGCGTCAGCAGTAGACTAGTTCTACTATACTGAACTAATTATAGACTAGTTCATAGTAAGTTGATGTTGATGATGAAATATGATTTATCAATTTTAGGAAATAATTTTTTTCTTAATTAATTAATTCTCAGAATGAAAATGTTCAATTATCAAGAGAAAAATGACTTATAATAAACTCTTAAGTAGTGAATTTGTAAAATGTAATTAACTACATAAATAAAGAGAAGAAATTATCTGGTATGAATTTTTAACTCTAATGAATCATTCGAAAATATGCTATATATGTGGAGAAAATCTGTAGCTCAGGTGGAAGACTGTTGTGGTGTTTGGTTCTCTGAGCTGGATGTTTTGGTTGTGAAACTTTCATTGTTTGTGCTGATGATGTTGTTCCGAAGAATAATGAAAGCTACACAACCAAAACATCCAGCTCAGAGAACCAAACACCACTACAATGGTATATACGTATATCTAAGGGGAATCACGAAAATAGATAATGAAACAGTAATACACAGAGTGAATTCAATGCAGATCACACTATTTCACAATTTAACTGAAACTAAAAATGTTAACTATTGAACTCTCATTCTCTGAACATTATCATACTCAATTTTATTAATAGTAACATGTACCATGTTTTCAAATTATTGTGAACTTTCTTTATGAACAATACATCAAATGTTCCTGTTATAATTTTTAATGATATCAAATTATCCAAATGAACGGAACACATTTTAATTGTTCAGTACTATTTAGTTATTGTTGAAGTTGTCGTTTTATCTACTTCTTATGAATTAGCTATTTTATTCTGTTAATTTCTGACTACATTAGTTAATCGTTTACAGCTTTTTCGTTAGAGAAATTTCAAAATTTTAATATTTCATCAAGCAGTTGAATATTTTCATCACAGTTCCACATAATATAAATGCTTACTTACTTACTTGCGCCTGTTACCCCCAATGGAGCATAGACTGCCAACCAGAATTCTCCAACCTACTCTGTCCTGCAATTTTAAATGCTATGGTAATAACTAATACTGGTAAGCCAGATGACAAGGGTTTTAATATCCGCTAGGATAATTATCTTCAACAGGATATCGAATGTGTTCTAATGACAATTGCCAATTTGCATAAGCCCTGAATTCGCGACCGGTAATATATCGGCTGTATCAAATTAATAAGGGTCAAGCGGAGTAAATGTCATAAATGTCAAGTCGCCTCATATTGAGGCTAAATTACAATTCGAACGAAAGTTTTTTGATCAATACAAACATGAAAATAGTTAGTTAGTGTATAAAAACATAATCTTATGGTACATTTGTATCGACAGTTTGAACTTCAGGCACATTCATCTAATGCATTTCAAATAGGATGAAACAAGTGTCCACTGCTAACTACTATCCATTTTTGTTTATAATTTTATTTGCATAACGGGGTTGTTATGAAGATTGTTAAGTTTTATTTGAAACCATGAATTGACCAATGTTAGACCACCATTAGACACCTGGAAGCACTGGACGGTCGTTTCGTCCTGGTATGGGACTGCTCAGCAGTGCGCATCCACGACTCCTGCACCCCGCGGGATTCGAACCGAGGACCTACAGCATTTTGGGCGGACGCCTAACCATCGGACCACTGAGCCGATATTTAACGGTGTTAATGTCTAACTTGATCAATTCACGGAGTTGCGCAACCTCACACACAGTCTTCGGTAGTAGTTACTGTCTACACCCGAACAGGCTGAACTTCACTGGTCACGTCTTCCCACTAGAACTCGGTGAACATCCCTCACGAAGCTAGTCACTAGTGAGCACAGTTAATTTGCATATATTATATACAGATTGTAAAAACTAATATAGGTAGTTGTTCATATTTAAATCATTGTCAGTTACATAAAAAAATTCGATAACTAGTTTTTTTAGTCATTCACTTTTTATATACACTGAATTCTTTTTTTTCTCTCGCTATAACCAACTCTTACACACACAGATACAAATGATCATGTTCAAACACAATTGTCAACTTGTAATGTAACATTATTATCAAAATGTTTTTTAGAAAAAACAGATTTGATCAAAGTAAACTATAATTAAACATGTTATTATTGTGATAGTAGATTAACATTTTTTGATAAAATTCATTTTGATTTGGTCACCAGTGAGTGCGTTAATCATTACAGACATATTTATTGATAGATAATGTTATGAATTTAATTGTTATATTTGTGATGATGATTTTAACAGACAAACAAACAAACAAACAAAAATAAACATTTTATTTTGTGCCAATTTCGGTGTAATTTTGAAAAAAAAGTAATAATAATTCGGTATTTATAAATAAACTTATAAACAATTTAATCAAACAATGCTATACTATGTGAGTATGAATATGATAAAAACATTTATAACTACGAAAATTGACCACACAAACAATACACATGCATTACATTACATTTATAAATAATGTAATGCATAATATATAAACATTAGTTTGTACTTAATTATTATTATTAGTTGAGAGTAATTAAAAAAAAACAAACTTATAATCTATAATCATTTGCTAGTTTTATTATTTTGGCATGTAATAAATAAATAGTTCAGTTAGTTTGCATGAATGCTAATGTTTTCTATCGATTATGACATGTGTCTGATAGGATTAGGGTATGATTTCGTTCAAAAATGTAATTCAGTGAAATACTTTATCAAAATGACTAACTGAAATTTTGCGTAACCATATCTACACATTTAATTTGTGGCCAATCAGAAAACAGCTTTTGTGAATGGACAATAAAGAGAAAGAGAATACAATGATATTAACAAAAATGTACATAGATTTTGAGTTAATTTCCTTCCTACTTTCAATTCATCAAATAAAGGTAGAGTAGAACAAAATTTACAATGATCAAGTATCGGTGTGAAGTATATTTGTACTCAATAAAACTTACTATCATCATTAAGAGACGAAGTCCTTGATAAATATTAAGTCATTTTCAGATTGTTGAAAATCGTACCGAGAAACTTAATTTTTCTGTGTAATAGTTTGAACTTAGGAGTATAAATTAGATGAAAAGAAAGTATGATTTCAAAATGAGAAAAACATTTAGGAATTCCACTTTACCCAACGCTAGGGTTAGAAGAAAAAAACATTAATTTATTTAGGTTATCAAAAAAAAAAAAACAGAATAACAAAAGACAATTACATGACATGAAAACACGTCATAAGTAACCAGCTGGTTGAGATATATGAACTGGGATGGGGGTGGGTGATTCCATGTAAGTTAGTTTTTTCTGTAAGCTGATGAGACAACTGTCTGATGCTCCTTGAATTTCTATGGTTCGCTCAACTCAATTTATATTAAAATCTATCCTAAAGAGTCTATAAAACACATCGCTAAAGTGACAGAAGTGGGCATCCAAGCAAGACAACTGACTGTCAAATTATTACGAGGATACGAAGATGTATAATACTTCACTTATTAGTCACTGCAAGGCTATTTGATCCCTTTTATT